AAATGCCAGAAAGTGGACATTAGAATGAAATCTGGAGAAAAATGAGAATAATGTCTATAATTTAGTTAATAGTACTATACCATTATGAATTTTCTGGTTTGAAAATTGTGCTCTGGTAATGATACCAGCTACCAGGGAATCTGGGTGAAAGGTATATAGGAACTCTTTACTGTTTTTGCAACTTCTCTATAAATTCAAGATTTTTTCCAAAAATCAAAAATTTAAGCTTATTTTGAAGTACTTAAGTGATAACCCTCACAAAGAATGCACAGGAGCAGTTCCCTAAAGTACATATGGTACCCTGCTTGTGATGGTTCAACTTATGACTTTTCAACATCATGATGTTATGAAAGTGATATCCACTCAACAGAAACTGTACTTCAATTTTTGAATTTTGATCTTCCCCAGGCCAGCAATGTGCTGCACATTCCTCTTCGCTGATACTGGGCAGTCCCTAGTCAGCCATGAGAGCACAAGAGAAAGACTCTATAGATTTAATATTGTTTTATCTCAGTTACTGAAGTTTTTGATGTCTCTTAAACTTTGCCCCTTGGCAAGAGCCTCAATCAGCTTGCTCTATCACCCAAGTCCTGCTTTTCATACTTTTGATCAGCACTAGCTTATTCAGTAACAAATCTGGACTTTGACCTGTGAATGAATGAGCAAGGCAGCTTGCAGGAGTGAAGTTTCCTTCCCATTTACCCTGCAAGACTGTGGAAGATTTCTGTCTGCAGGGAATCCTGGGATAAAACCATGCATTGAAAGGAACAGCCATTTACATTAAACATTCACTTGGACAACCTCTTGATTTCCAAAAAGCATTTCTTGCATGTTTAAATTAAGTCTCCCCTTCACTGTTGGGAGGCATGAGTTAAAAGCCCACTCAGCAGCAGAAAAATATAGCTATGCTTGGTCCAGGTTACAGTTACTGAGGGAACTATAACTTTGATTTGCACAACTGGTATAATTGTAAATCCTTAAGTGGAATGTGTTAAGTGAGGAAGACAGAACTCCGCTTCTGAAGATGATTTTGATCTGTCTATAGTGCTTCAGCTGTCATATGTAACCTGGGGTAACAGGTAGGCACAGCACCAGAAAATTTTCAGAAACCATCCTCCAAGAGTTCTAGAATGGACATTTTTTTTTCAGGGAGATTTCAGATAACATTAGTCATGGAGACAAACACAGCCCAAATTAGAAGGTAAAGCACTGAATTTCAGAAGCTTCTCCAAGCAGCCTAACCTGCTACTGTCATTTTGATTCCCTGTTACATTTTCTTTTACCTAGAATTCCAACTCAACATTTCCCTCCAATCACATTTCTTACTGTTTTCAGCTAATATTTTGTATCCTAGAGAGAAGTCTCTCACTTTTCTCCTAAGCCTTCATGTCTTTCCTCTTTCTTTGTCATCTGCCTTTTTTCTCAATCTGGAAGGCATCTTTTTCTTTCCTCTGCCAGTTCTTAAGGCCACCAGTGGTGGTTCACAATTTGAATGTAGCCAACAGATATATTTCTCTTGGTTTGACATTTACATAATAAAAGTCACCCTGTAAGGCCTCCCTGGTGGCTTAGGGGTTAGATCTCAGTGCTTTCACCACTATGGCCTGAGTTTGATCCCCACATATGGCACAGCAAACCTCTCCTGTCTTCCCCATTACTCCCATTAACAGTGTGTTTCAGTAAATCTGCCTGTACATGTTCATGTTACCTGCCTCCCACTGTGAGCACCTGAATTGTGGTCCCTGAGAGCCAAAACTTGCCCAACTCAACTTCCCCTTCGATTATGAAATTATCCAAGATTCATTTTGCCCTGTCTTAGTCACTTTCTGGGCTGCATTTGGACAACTTTTAACTTTATTATAGAATTTACCACTTAATTATGTGCAATTTTACATTTTTCTTGTCATGTTAGATCTGTCTAAAATTTTTATAGTTATTTCTCTTTTCAACAAAGGCAATGTCTTTCCATCGTATAGCTCACTAAATATTAACTGAACACCTACTGTTTGTCAGTCACCATTCTGGGCACTGGGGTTCCAAAAGCCATCAAGTTAAAATGTTCTGTCCTTCAAAACTACCTCTGTGATCTTATTTCCTGGTGCTCCCCAACTCTAGTCCTTGGTATTAGGAGTCTATCCATTTCTCAGGGCACATCTACCTTATGCTTTTCTCCATAGTTAATTTATCTCTCACTGATACAATGAAGTTTCTAAATATCGAAGCAAACTATAGCTGTCTTTTGAAACCTAGTCAACTTCCCTTATCTCTGACTCAGGCAGTCCATTCCAAAAATATGTGTGTACCTCAGTCTTTTACACTTTTGATTTGAATTATTTCCTAGAATTGCTTTTATATTGGTATCCTATGTCTGGTTTGCAGACTCTTCAAGGGCAGGGCTGATTCAGTCTTATATTTCTCCTATATTTCTCCACTGCCTGGGCATAGTGCCCACTTCTGAGCAGATACTCAATAATTAATCTTTATGGCTTGATTGATCTTCCCATATTCAATTAGTCTACTTTCTATAAATGCATGCTGACACTAATTTTATTTTTTTATACTCAGCAGAAACAAGCAAGAAAGGTAAATCTGCTGCTGCATTAAAACATCATATAAAAGCAGGTATCAACATTGAGCATGGGTGTACTTCCAAAGTTCTTTGTATATCAGTTTGGAATTCAGCATGCATTTTACCACAGAAATAATGCAGAAGAATAATACTGGTTAAGGTCCTAGTCTGGCCTGTGTGAGCATATACCTATAGTGTAACTAAACTCTGAGACAGAAAGTGCTTACACTTACTGTCCTCATTATATGAATAGTTTACAAACATTGTAAGTGTTTAATCTTACCTGCTATTCATCACACTTTGCTCCTCTGTAAATGGTTTGTTATCTCATTTAGACATTAGCTCCATGGATGTAAGGACTGCATTTGTCCCCTATAGTCAAATCCAGCAGCTGGTACAGGTTAGACAGTCAAAAAATATCTGTCAGTTTTCATTTATTTAAGCTCTAGTTGAAAGATTATAAATTTTGGATACACAGAGATTCAGTATGGATTCAAATCCTAGCTGTGTGTTCTTAGGAAAGTTACATGGCCTCTCTGAGCCTCAGTTTCTGTCTCTGTGCTTACCATGTTGCTGAGCATGTGGTTGGTACCTAAAATATTTTTATTCTTTCCTTCCCTCTTGCCCTGATGTAATCCCTCAGAAAGTGTTTGATTAATTAATTAATGATATCTGTTTTTCATGCTGCATTGGTTGAGGTGGTATTAAAGGGAGGGTTATGTTTGATATCAAAACCTTTCAGCAACTTTTGAGAACATGTGAGTGCTAATTCCACCTGTGGTTCTGACAACCTTTCTGATCTCAGGCAGGTCACGCAAATACATCTGTAAAAGAGTGATGGTGGACTTCAGTTATTTTCAAGCTTTTCCACTTAAGTATTGCTAATTTCACATGATTGAATGTAAACTCTCAGTGTCCTGTCAGTGGAAACCAAAGGTTGAATTTATTTTAGTTCAATCTTATTTTTTATTTTAATTATTCATATACATTTTATATTCATGATAGGACCATATTTTGAAAATATAGCTTTTCATGAGACACAATTTCATGAATGTGAGCTCTAAGTCAAACAGTCTGCCAGGTATCTTATATGCAGAATTCAATGAATTTTTATTAAAATGCTCCAAGTAAGCTGTTATTATGCCTGTTAGTGAGGAGCAAACCAAGGCTTACAGGAGTTTAAATAAATAGGTTCAGGCTGCATAGCGAGTTAGTGGCAGAGCCAGAATTCAATCTGTCTAAATGTAAGTCTTTTCCCTACACCTCTTCAAAGGGTAAGTAAAAGCAGAAACTTCCCTGGTCATCATGTAAATAAAAATACTTACGTCATGATAACTGGAAAAAGAATACAGATTGCCTGTGTGCTGCATAGAGATTTTTCATTCAGATAGACTTGAAAGCATCATGGAGGGATGAGAAGTTAATTATGTTACAAGGCTGGACTTGTGGGTATATTGTGTTGTTTTTGTTTCTGATGATGTTCATGCAATAGATAACAAATATTTTAAAAGAATATTCTGCCTAGGGCCTCCCTGGTGGCACAGCGGTTGAGTGCTGGACTGCGAAGCTGCCTGCAGCCTCTGCAGCGCCGGTTTGATCCCTGCCACCAGCGAGGGTCCCACATGGCACGCAGACCTCTCCTCTCGCGCCCGCTGCTCCCCTTAGCAGTGTACTTCATCAGTCTTCCTGTTCTGCTCCCTGCTCTGGCTCTGGTGAATTTTCTCACCCTCCTGCGCTTCTGACTGTACCCAGTGCTTGTATAAATAAATAAATAAATCTTTTTTTTTTTTAAAGAATATTCTGCCTAAGTTAAAAGTGTGATAAGAAAAGAAAGAGAGATAACTGATTTTGTTAGATATTGTAATTTCATTTAGAGGTTTTTGTGAGGGCTCTGAATTGTAAGAATGTAGGCAAGCTAGAATATTTTGTCACCCTCTGGCTTGACAGGCTTCACTGTGGCTCAGGGTAGATAACCCAGGGCCTCAAAGAACTCAAAGATGTGTCTCAAAGAACTCATGGAAGACCTGAAAATCAAAATAATAGATTTTCAAAGCAATATCTGTGGAAAGTGGAGTATTTTTTTCTGTGAATAAGTCAATCTTAGGGAACTGAAGGAATGTTTTCATATCTGGGGGCAAGGAATAACATGATTCAGGGAAGTTTGGAGAGAAATAGTTATAATCTTCTGAAATAACCCCAGAAGACTAATTATTTATTTGTTTGAAACTTATTTTGGAAGCAAATTTACAACACTACATCCCCTTGGTTATAGGGTAAAGGGTAAAAGAAGAACAAAAGGAGATGGTGCACATAAGAAAAGGAAATAGCCAGCATCTTTGCCTCTTGAGAATAGATAGCTTAGTACATATATTATTTTGGATTAAACTCTGAACTGGTAAGGTGTAAAGTAAACTTAGACAATATCACTCACCCATTCATGCATCCTCCCATCTCTCTGCCATACATGGTCACGTTTATTTCATATATTAAATGTTTGTACTGCTTATCCCATGTCAAGTAGATTTTATCCTTTGGACATTCATAATTGAAAGATGTGGTCCCCTCATTCCAAGAAGTTCAAATATGATTTTGTAGAACTTCAAAACAAAACAACAAACGCTGCCTATGGTGAGGTAGAGGTTTAGAGTAATTCAACCAGAAAAGACTTCCCAAAGGCAATGATTAGAGATTGGCAGGTAACCAGGGAGAAGGTGTATCACACACAGGGAAAAACATGCTCTCAAAGGCATTCTGGTTGCTCTCTGTGGGCAGGGTGATTTGATCAAGATTGGCTGAATTAGGACCTAGAAAAACAAAACCTCCCCAGAACCAAATGACTGAACTCCCTCAAATGGCTGCCTGCAGTCCCAGGCTAAGCTGTATGAACTCTGTGCCATGAAACATGGTGACAGTGGGATGATTCTACTGAGAGTTCTAGGTAATTCTAGACTCAGTGTGAGCAGGGTGACATGGCACTGATGGAGGAAAATGGGCTGAGAAGAATATACAAGAGATATTCACCTGTTATTAAACACTAATTAGAAGAAAACATCGTTATTACAAAGCCCCACTTATTTTCCCAAAGAGCCTACAGGCACACATTTCTTCTGACTAGTTCTGACACCACTGTCCTTCAGACATCTTCCCAGATTGCCCTACCTTGGATTATTTAACCTTTTTCTGAGCTTCCTCAGCACTCTGTGATAAAAGTGTTATTGTCCGTTCCTCACTGTGTGGTTCTTTCCTAGTCACACATAGCCAGCAGTCAATGACATCATAAAAGCAGGCTTTCTCTGTTCCTGTATCCCCAGCACTTGGGACAGAGCATGGCATATATTAAATTAGTAGCTTCATATGAGTATTATGTGCAAAGCTTTCAAAAAATTATAATGTCCAGGTCTCAGCCCTGGAGATTTAGAAGTAGTCTGGGGAAGAACCTGGCATGAATTCTTTATTTATTTAGGAGGGCCCTATGTTATCTTAAAAATGTACCAATGACTAGGAACCTCAGAAGTAGATTATTAGAGAATGTTTTTGGTTGTACTGAATTTTAATGAATGCTATACATCTTTTTTTGTTTGTTTTATTTTTGTTAGGGCAGAGAACTTGGTAAGGAACAGCAAACTTGCTATTTAGGCAGCCACAAAATGCTCTAAATTCACCCCAGACCTAAGAATACTAGGGGAAAAAAAGACTACTTCTAGATGCTACACCCTTATTGGAAAAGTATCTTACTATATAGCTAGTAATAAACACAAGGATTTGGCAAAGATGTATTAATTATACTAATCAACTATGCTGGGCTCTCACTAATTAAGACTCTAAAGGGGGTGAGCATTCAGAGGAAAGACTTTCTTGTTTGTGGTTGATCAGGGAAGGATTAGAGCCATGGATTAAAAGTGAAATAAATGAGTAGATTATGGAAAATGGGAAATTAGATACACATCTTTTCATCTAGAAAAGCCATTGGAAATCATAGATCAAATTGGAAAAAATGGAATAAATACTTTTCATTAGTTCTCCCTCTCCCAATTAACTATGGGTACATAAGTTGTTCAGAGAAAGATAGTAGAGGAGAGGAAGCACAACAGGAGTTATTGAAAATAATAGTAAATAACAGACATGAAAGAACTCTAAGAATATTTTGAAATCATTATTACAATTAGAGGACAGTGAAAAAACACACATCAACTTAAAGCAGGGACATACATATACTGTTGGGGATAGATGAGGGAGGGGAGGGGGAGAGAGAGTGGCAGGGAGGAAGGGAGGGAGGGATAGTGCTCTTGTTCAGTGATTTTATCAGCACCATGGAGAGAGTCACAAATTCTCCATTGCTTGTTCTTTATCCAGATGAGCTTTGGCAGAGGGTTTTAATTACATGCAATCTGAACTGGAAAAAAAGCAAACCTTGCTGTCTGTGTAACCACAGATATACATCAGAAGATAAACATTAATTCCTCAGATTTAATGCTTCTTTCTGGTCAATTTTCTTCCTATAACATTGGCCTACTTCCGCCATCCTTTCCCAGGAAAGGAAAAGAAGTTCAAGTATAAGATTTTTAAAGCCTCCTGTTCATGGAAATATTTCTAAAGTTTCTGGTGTAATCAATCCCTATATGGATGTGTCAGTTTGAATAATCTCTGAATTCTGACTAAAGCACATGATTCTGGGTTGTTTCATGAAACCTGTCTATGATCTCAATCTTAGCCTACCTGAGTTGGGAGGAGTTTGTGGAGGAAAGAATCCACTTTAAAAAATAGAGCAATAGAGTTTTGATTTGGGGAGATCCTGCTGAGGAAACTGGATCAATTACCACAGAATGTGTTCTCTGATGTCTATGTTCTTCCTCTGGAAGATGGCTTGGTAATTAGGGGTATTTTCACTGCAGGAAAGAGAGTAGAAGATTGTTTATTCTTTTATTACTCCTTCTCCCTGCTTAAGGGCCCCTTAGTCATTGGTGTGAGGTCAAGCTGTGTTGCCAGACAAGTTGAGAAAGTACATGTCCAGAGGCGTCTAGATTCTCCGGTCTGATTCCATCTTGCTCACCTAAGAATCTCTACAACAGTTAGTCGACACTTCATATTAGCTTTCTAATTAAATGAAATTGACATCCCATTAATAAAAAAGTGGTGATTACTTATTTTGTGTCAGGTATTTGTGCCAGACATTGAACTTAAAATAATGACACAGATCTAATCCCTAACAAGGAATTTGGAGATGATTCACAGTCTATTTGCTCAACAGTGAAAGGAGGTCATGTAAGAGTAGACAGGTCATAACTCTTACCTCAGAGGATCTTGTAGTCCAATATTTTAATGCTCTCACACAGGGCTGCATTTTAACAGGAGAAAATTAGCCTTAAGTGAAAGAATGACATTCAATCCATACGACTTCAAATAGCAATAAACAGCTGGAGGTGTATTTGGGAAATAATTTGGGTGAAGAAGAATGATGTTGATCCCTACAGGCACCTTCTCAGTCTGTGGCTAAAGTCATGCCAAGATTAGGGGTAAAGATTTGGGGATAAAGTAAAGGCATTACACAGAAGAGAACAGAGGAGAAGCTCTAGACTGGCAAGTGGAGAAGGAGAGAGGATGGCAGTAATGGAAAGAGGGATGTTGCTTGTTGGGGAGTCAGAGCATGGAAGGATGGAAGTCATATTTAAAATGGCTTTCTGGAGATAGTAGCAAAGGTTTTCACCAGCAGGCAATTTTGGCTACCATTTCTTATCACATGCCCCTGAATGTATCTTTTAAAATATATCTCCCAAGTAAGAAGCATGTTTGACACATTAAATTATGATCATATATAAGGACACTTCTGAATTTTCAAATCATTAGAGTTAAGCGGGGTGCCTTCCTGGAATTTATCTTCTTTCATACCATTTATGTTAATTTTGGGGAAACATTACAAACAGTTCACAGACCCCCATTTCTACGTGGCTACCTTAGGAGCCCATTGCTGCAAGGCTATTTGGACATGTATCATTCTCATTACATTGGAATTTACAAAATACAAAATTGCTATAAAAAGTCATGCTGGGCCTCCCCTGGCGGCGCAGCAGTTGAGTGCTGGGCTGCGAAGCTACCCGCAGCCTCTGCAGCACCAGTTCGATCCCTGGCCACTGGCGAGTATCCCACATGTCACACAGACCTCTCCTGCCACACCCGCTGCTCCCCTCAGCAGTGTATTTCATTGGTCTGCCTGTTCTGTTCCCCGCTCTGGCTTTAGTGAATTCTCTCACCCTCCCACGCTTCTGACTGTGCCCAGTGCTTGTATAAATAAATTAATTAATCTTTAAAAAAAAAGTTATGCACAGAATGCATGTGCCTTGCAACTAAGAAAAAAAAAAAAAGATTCAAATCCAGTTCCGTCACCTATGGTTCTGGACTGTGAACATTAACCTCTAAATTTTCTCACTTGTAACATGGGGAGAACCAGTATAGCAGATTGATAAGATTACTCTGTGAATTAGATGAGATGTGCATGTAAAGCAGTTATTATATGATATGACATAAATTAAATAGAATGGGTCTTATTTTATATCTTATATCTTATATCTTATTTTATATCTTAAAATGGGGTTATACTTATCCCCAGGGTTTTCATCAAGACATAGGGATATAACAAATATAAAGCCATACACCAATTGCCTGGCATAGTAAGAATCAGTTGTATTTTCTATCCATTTCTCCTTATGCAATCCCTGTAGAGTCCCTTTCAAAGACCAAAATACAGAAATAGATCATCTGCAAGGATCTTTATGAGTGCCTCCCACCAGTCTCCATTTATCAGCTTTAGGATGTTATGCTTTCAAACTTGGAGTATTTAATTTTTTCTGCTGTAGGCTGCAGGTTGGAGACCCCAGTGTATTTTATTTTATTTTTTTTAAAGATTTATTTATTTATTTATACAAGCACTGGGTATAGTCATAAGTACGGGAGGGTGAGAGAATTCACCAGAGCCAGAGCAGGGAGCAGAACAGGCAGACTGACGAAGTACACTGCTGAGGGGAGCAGCTGGCATGGCAGGAGAGGTCTGCATGCCATGTGGGACCCTCACCAGCGGCCAGAGAATCGAACCGGCGCTTCAGAGGCTGCGGATATCTTCGCAGCCCAGAGCTCAACTGCTGCACCATTGGGGAGGCCCAACCCCAGTGTACTTTAATACCCTCTTTCCTGTCTCCCCTCCTCATATACAAATCAAGTTAGAGGATCTAAATAAAAGCAACATTACTCTCTAGGCACAATGGGCTTTCAGTAGATTTTGTTTTTTTACCTGCTAGGAAACAAAGTTAAAAACATTTGATAAGTAGAATAAAATATTTCACAGTTGTGTCTTTAGAAAAGGTATTAGCGGGGAGGGATTGGGGTCAAAATAAGGGGGTTGCAATTGTATGGGGAATATAAAAATAAAATTTATTATATAAAAAAAGAAAAGGTATTAGCCCATGTCACATCATAGTGCCTTTCTGTCAGTTCAGTAACAAGGGAATTGCCTTCTCCCTGAAACAAAAGGGTGTCTCCAGTGCACCACAATCCCTGGTTTAAATCTGCTCAGTTCTCTGTGGCTGTGATTTCACAGGTGTGTAGAATGACTTGTTAGTTAGTTAGTTCTATTTATTTTCACACATTATTATTGTGAAAAATTCCAAAGAACGATGGCAAGTAGAATTATCCCTTTAACTTCCCATCTCTCCCTCATACCCCACTCATGGATATCTTTGTAAATACTTTGTCATACATTTCCCCGGCCTTTTTAGATAGAGAATAGTATTTTTCAGAAACATCAATGGGCTCATTTTACAGGTGGTTCTCTATAGACTCTTTTTATTATATATATATTAAGGCTCTTTCAGATGTAGACATAGTTACCTTCCCTGAATCCCCCTAGTAGAATTCACATCACTCATATGATAGGACCACTGTCTTGGTGGCATTTATCTTGCTTGCTCCATGTGGATATTATAAACAGTACACTATGCTATAAACAGCTGTGCACACACGTTTGCCTGATTGTTTACTTTGGAAAAATTTGCAGGATGATTTATTATCTACAAAGATCACATCTTTTCATTTCTGTGATCCTAGAAGATGGAGGCAGTAGCAGTGACAAGTCTGGACTTGTGTCAACAGGCCTGGGTTAGAACTTGGATTGCGAATTACAAGGTCTGTGACCACAGCCAGCACCTCAATCTCTTTCTCTGTAAAC